ATGCGGCTGCCCCCCATTTTCTGTGGCCGTTTGCGGTCAGGTACGCGGCGCATCAGATCAACCTCCACCCCAGGGTCTCCACGCCTGAGACCTCCCCAGCCCTGCTGTGGACGGGGAAGGTTGGCGATGCGTCGGCGTTCCGGGTCTGGGGATCTCGGGCGTTTGTCCGCGACTTGTCTGCGGACAAGCTGTCCCCTCGCGCTGCTCCCTGCGTCTTCCTGGGGTTCCCCCCCGACGCCCCTGGGTGGCAGTTCTACCACCCCACCTCTCGACGTGTTCTGTCCTCCCAGGACGTCACGTTTGACGAGTCGGTACCCTACTACCGCCTCTTCCCCTACCGCACTCCTTCCCTTCCCCCGCCCCCGCTCTTCTTGGTACCAGGTCCCCCCCCGGTAGACCCCCTCCCCCCTCAGGGTCCTACCCCTTCAGGTGTGTCCCAGGTAGACGCAGTCGAGCCTGTCGAGGTCACTGGTGACTCTGGTGCTGCTGCGGGAGCTGAGCCTGGGGGTGCTGAGCCTAGGGGTGCGGAGTCTGGGGGTGCTGAGCCTGGGGGTGCTGGGCCTGGGGGTGCTGAGCCTGGGGGTACTGAGTCTGGGGGTGCTGAGCCTGGGGGTGCTGAGTCTAGGGGTGCTGCGCCTGGGGGTGCTGAGACTGGGGTGGCTCCGCCTGGAGGTGCTTTGCCTGAGGGTGCTGCGCCTGGAGGTTCTTCGCCCGGAGGTTCTCCGCCTGGAGGTGCTTCGTCTCGCCGAGAGCCACTCTCCCCACAGGAGCTGCGTGAGTGGTTTGCCCGGCGCTGGAGGCGTGCTGCTGGTGCTGGAGGTTCTTCGGCTGCAGAGGGTGCTGCTGCCGCGCGTTCCGGAGGTGCTCGTGCTGTGGGTGCTGGAGCTGCTGGGCCTGAGGGTTCTCCTGGAGCAGGTGCTGCTGAGGGTGTTGGCGCTGAGACTACTGTTGGCGGTCCGACTGGCAGTGCTCCTGGTGCTGCTGGAGGTGCTGCTGGAGGTGCTGCTGGAGCGGGTACTCCTGCTGGGGGTACTGGTGCTGTCCCTGCTGTTTCTGGCGTCGCCACGCGGCCCCGACCGTACTTGGTTCCGCTCCTGCAGCAGGTTCTTGGTCTTACACCTTCTCCTGGTCCTCCTCCGCCTCCCTTAGAGGGTCCACAGCCTGTCCGGTCCCAGTCACAGCTACAGCCTGCCTCCCCTTTGCCTGCTCCTTCTCCCTACGCTGGTCCGACTGGAGGACTTACTGAGCGTCGTGAGCCTGCGTCTCGTCCTGTGTCGCCTGTTCGTCCTGCACGCACTAGTGGTCGCAGTTCGCGTCAGCGTCCTCCTCCTGTCCCTGGCACGCACCGGATGTCTCTGCGTCCGTCCACTGCTCCTCTGCGTGCCCCTTTGCCTTCTCCTCCTGAGTCCTCTCTTCCTGCTCTTGCCGACCCGGAGTCGGACTCTCTTCGTGCTGCCAGTCCCACTGTCACGCGTCTCCTTGCTAGTGCTGTCACTGACCCTTCCTTCGAGTCTTCTGCTGCGTTTGCCCTTGTCACTGAGCTTGTCGACTTTGCTGGGCGCTGTCGTCTAGACTACGCTGCTAGTCTTGTCGCTGAGTCTGAGCCTTCCTATCCTCCGTCCGTCGGGGGTGAGTTTGCCCTAGGCACGGACGTCCTTGAGGACAGGCAGGAGGAGTTCCAGTGTCTGGCCGCCGCTTCACCTCATCTCGCGTCTGTTCTGCTCGCCCCTGAGGGAGACCCGGATGCACTAGACATCCCGACTCCGCGCTCTTACGCGGAGGCGATAGAGGGTCCCTACTCCTCTCAGTGGCAGGCAGCTATGGATGCAGAGATGGCTTCCTGGAAGTCCACAGGCACCTACGTTGACGCTGTTCCCCCTCCTGGGGCGAACATAGTCAGTGGCATGTGGATCTTCAGGGTGAAGCGGCCGCCGGGTTCTCCGCCTGTCTTCAAGGCGCGTTACGTGGCTCGTGGCTTCAGTCAGCGGCAGGGAGTTGACTACTTTCAGACCTTCTCCCCCACCCCGAAGATGACCACTCTTCGGGTACTGCTGCACGTTGCTGCTCACCGTGACTACGAGCTGCACTCTCTCGACTTCAGCAGTGCTTTCTTGCAGGGCAGCCTGCACGAGGAGATCTGGCTGCGTCGCCCACCTGGCTTCACTGGGTCTTTCCCTCCTGGTACCCAGTGGAGTCTCCGGCGTCCAGTCTACGGTCTCCGCCAGGCGCCACGTGAGTGGCACGACACACTGAGGACTACGCTTGCGGCACTTGGGTTTGCTCCTTCTACTGCCGACCCGTCGCTGTTTCAGTGCACCGACACCTCTCTGCCGTCGTTCTACATCCTCGTGTACGTCGACGACTTGGTCTTTGCCACAGCGGACACTGCTGGACTCGCTTACGTGAAGTCCGAGCTGCAGAAGAGACACACGTGCACTGACCTGGGTGAACTGCGCAGCTACCTTGGCTTGCAGATCACCCGGGACAGAGCACGCCGCACCATTACCCTGACTCAGTCACACATGGTGCAGCAGGTCCTTCAGCGCTTCGGCTTCACGTACTCCTCGCCTCAGGCCACTCCTCTGCCCACTCGCCACTCGCTCTCAGCTCTGCCTTCGGATGAGTCCGTAGAGTCGAGTGGCCCGTATGCAGAGCTTGTTGGCTGCCTCATGTACCTGATGACCTGCACTCGACCTAACCTTGCATACCCTCTTAGCATTCTCGCACGCTATGTTGCTCCTGGGAGACACCGACCAGAGCACATGGCTGCAGCGAAGAGGGTGTTGCGCTACTTGTGCAGTACGTCGGGCATGGGGCTAGTGCTTGGAGGGCGCAGTCCAGTGGTCCTCACTGGGCACGCGGACGCTTCTTGGGCTGACGACCAGGCTACGCAGCGGTCGTCACAGGGTTACACCTTCGGCCTTGGTTCCGGCTCTGTTTCGTGGCGGGCTACTTGCTCGTCTTCTGTTCTCGGCTCCAGTTGTGAGGCTGAGATCTACGCCGGGGCTATGGCTGCTCAGGAGCTTCGCTGGCTCACCTACCTGCTGACCGACCTTGGAGAGCCACCTCGTTCTCCTCCAGTCCTGTACGTAGACAACAAGGCCATGCTGGCCTTGTGTCGAGAGCAATGACTGGAGCACAGGACAAAGCACATTGCTCTCCGCTACTTTCTTGCTCGTGAGCTACAGCAGCGTGGACAGTTGCGACTTGCGTACGTGGCCTCTGAGGCCAACACTGCTAATGTCTTCACCAAGGCACTTGCGCCTTGTGATCATCAGCGTTGTTGCACGCAGCTGGGTCTTGTGCGTGTCTTGCCTCACTTACTCACTTCTTGACCTTGCTTGTACCTTCACCTATATATACTCTTGTTCTTGCTTGCTTGACCCTTGTATATCTCTATATATGATCTTTCATGTGAACTGGCCTTGTGGCCTTTGAACTTGTGCTTGGAATGTGTGGTGACTTTGTGATCCACCCTGAGCTTTGCTTTGCTTTGCTTGACTGGTCTTGTGACCCCTTGTTCTCCCCCACTTTGCCTATGGGGGTGTGTCAGAACATATAGCTTACTTATTTGTGTAGGCTATAGTGGGGTATCCCATAGGGGGTACAACCCAATTAGGGTTTCCTATTTGTACTCACTTCGTTCATAGTCATTTCATTCTCGTTCACTTCTTCTCATCGAACCCGCATCCCCAGATCCCCAAGGGCTGTGCGGGGCAAGTTACTTTTGGGTCAAAAAACTCACTGACCCTGAACTGACCCTGTTTTGACCACTAACCCCAATTTGACCCCAAAGAAACTCTGGGGGCATTTACAGGACAGGCTTGGGTCAGGCCGGAAGGTGGGTCACGCTAGGGTCAGAAACATTTTGGTGATGACAACCAATTTGAGAATAATCGACTTTCTGCTTTTTCGACACATTTCCGCAGGTCGGAGCATCCGGGGGGCGCCAGAACGATCCATCAGCCGCCAGCGGCGGCGGAGGGGCAGCCAACGCGGGAAGCAACGGCGCGGAGTCGATTGCGGAGTGGAAGCGGCGATCAGCGGAAGCGGGCGCGCACTTCTTCCCCCTGCAGCGCGCGGAAGACGCCCCCAGCAGGGACGAGCTGCACTGCCGGATTCTCGCGTCCAGAGTGAGTGCGGGGAGGGGAGTGGAGAGGCCGGGAGCAGAGCATTGCTGCTTGACCTGTCCATGCCGATATGCCTCCCTCTACACTGCGCTGAGGGACATACGAGGAGACAACATCACATGAGATGGCCATTGCATGGCAATGGCGTTGCATGGCAATGGCGTTGCATGGCAATGGCGTTGCATGGCATTTGGCGTAGACAACTTTTTAGTGAACGCTGCCAGTTCGCTGCATCAATGTGTGTCTTTCGCGATAGAGATTGCACCCACGTCAGTCTCCTCATGGCTTGCTGCTTCCTTCCCTCCCACAATCCCGTGGCATGCGCAGGGCGTGGGGGGCGGCTTGAAGGGCAAAGGAGAGGCAGGCAAAGTATCGAAGGTGAGTGAGCGCTCACGGGACGACGCTGCAGCTGCTGCAATCTTAGGAGATTAGTTGTGTGCTTTCGGGCAGTCGTTTGTGGAATGGTAGCACTTGGCAGGTGGCAGGCACGAGGCACGTGGGAGGTGGTAGGTGACATGCTGCGTCACATTCGCCCGCTCTCATGAGCTGAGTTGTTACACAAAACCACAAGAGTTCTGTGTGACCGATCGATCTGTTGGTTATGGCATGCACTTGCCTTCCCCACTACTTTTGCTGCCTTGTGCTGTTGTGCATACCTCCCATGTGCCTCTACCTCTTCAACCCTGTCAAGTCCCTCTGTCCTGATCGTTTCTGCGCGCAGCTGTGGGTCGTGTTTCCCACCTCGTTGCTTGCGGTGCAGACAAGGGGGGCATCCTTCGCCATTGGGGCCTCACTGATTCTGGGGCGCCTCAGAGCTCGTTACGTCTTACTCATGTTCTGGGACGTCTCAAAACTTGTCGCGTCTTGCTCATGGGTTGTTTGTTGTACCTGGTTGCTTGCGTGCAGGATGTGGGGTATCCCCTGCCGCCGCTGGAGTACGACAGCACGCTGCTCTCAACGGCCATCGGCACAATGGGCAACACCATGGTCAACTACAGCACCCCCATCGATAACAACCACATCCGCCTCCCGTATGCTCCGCACCGTGCCCCTCTCGCTGCGTGCCACTCGCCGCATCCCTCTCGCTGCATGCCACTCGCTGCATGCCACTCGCCGCACCCCTTCAACCTCGCTCTTCTGTGACCTTTCGTTTCTTTCTGCCCTTCCTCCCCTCACCCCACCCACCGTCGCTCGTGTGGCCCCACCAGAGTGTATCCGTACTATGTGGCGCTCAAGCTGGGGTTGCAGAAGCAGGAGTTCAGCATGGCGCTCAACCTCGCTGTCTCCCACACCTTCGTGCCCTGCGACTGCCTGCACTGCGGCACCTCGCGCAAGGGGGTGCGTGCATGAGGCTCCGCCTTCCTCCCACACCCACCAGCCACGCACGCCCATGGGGACGTGCGAGGGCGGAAAGGGGGTGGCGGACTGGGAGTGGGTGAGTGAGATCCAGAATGAGAGTGAGGAGGAGGAGAATGAATGAGTGCGAATGCGACAACTCCTTCTGGCTCCCCTCCCCTCTCCCTGCAGACTGACTACGGCAAGCCGTTCCTCTCGAGCCTCGTCTCACGTTTCCCTCCTTTCCCTCCCCTAGCCCCTCTCCCTCTCCCTCTCCCTCTCCCTCTCCCTCTCCCTCTCCCTCTCTTTCTCCCTCGCCCTGCAGACGCCCAGCAGCAAGCCCTTCAGCACGCTCGCCTCCACAACCCTCAAGTACATCTCCTGCGTGGACCAGCGCTGCATGGGGGGCTCTGACTATGGCACCTACGGCTGCAACACGGAGGGGCTCCCCAACTACCTCAACACCACGGGCCTGCTGCCTGGGGACGACGCCCTGTGTGTGTACAATGCGAATGCAGCACGCTACGACTACTATGAAGCTGACGCTGTTGAAGGTTCTTCTTACCTTCAGTCAACGGGGCATGTGGTAGAGGACACGGTCTACCTCACTGCACCTGATGGTACCGAAGTCAACCGATCCATCGTTTTTGGGTGAGACTCTGCTTGTCATTGCTCTTCCCCTTTCCCCTGGTTCCTACCTCAAGACTTCTCTCATTCTTCACGATATCTCACACACTCACCTCCCCATTCGTTCTGTGCCTCACACTCCTCTCTGCCGCCCAACACTGCCCCCCCAGCTGTGGAGTGAACCAGAAGGGCTACTGGGGCATGCAGGGGTGGCAGTACGGCTCGTGGGCGGCAGGAGGCGTGCTGGGGCTGGGGTGGTACAGCCCCTTCCTCTATGAGCTCACCGCCATTGATGCCCCAAGCTCCTTCGCGATGTGTCTGGAGGAGCCGATGCCGACAAACAAGACGGGGTGGGATGGCAAGGTGCCGCTGCAGACAGGCAGCAGCCATCTCACCATCGGAGCCACCGGCCTCCCTGCCGGCGCCAGCTACGCCTCCTTGTAATGATATCTCCCCTCCATGTCCCTCCTCACTCTCTTTCTCTCCCTGCCGGCGCCAGCTACGCCTCCTTGTAATGATAACCACCTTGCTGCTGCTCCATGTTCCTTCTTGCTCTCTTTCTCTCTCTGCCGGCGCCAGCTAAGCCTCCTTGTAATCACTCCTTGACGCCGCCTCCCTTGCTCTCTTTCATCCATCCATCCATCCATCCATCCATCCATCCATCCATCCATCCATCCATACATACATACATGCATGCATGCATGCATACATACATACATACATACATACATACATACATACATACATACATACATACATACATACATACATACATACATACACACATACATACATACATACATACATACATACATACATACATACATACATACATACATACATACATACATACATACATACATACATACATAGATACATACATACATACATACATACATACATACATACATACATACATACATACATACACACATACATACCACCCACCCACCCACCTACCTACTCACCCATGTCACGCTCTTAACCTATGTGCAACCCCTCCCTCCAGGCTTTACCTGGCCGGAATGCAGTACAGCCACATCACACTCACCACGGCTAAGCGCGCCCTCAACATCACAGACGACCCGGCCTACGTAGACCCAGGCTCCTATCTACATGCGGATTTTCCAAAGAACGCCATGCCGGGTTTCCTCTTCATGCCCGAGTCCTTCGTGCATCTCCTGCGCTACCCTCTCTTCATGAGCCTGGTCAACGCGGTACGTGCTCCTCACCCTGCGTCTGCCTGCGTGTGCCTGTGCCTGCCTGCGTGTGCCTGTGCCTGCCTGCGTGTGCCTGTGCCTGCCTGCGTGTGCCTCTGTCTGTGCCTGCGTGTGCCTCTGCCTGTGCATGCGTGTCTGTCTGAGAGCCTGGCGGTCCCAAGGCCATGTGAAGGCTAGCCAAGTGGAACCAGTGAGTGGTGCTGGCATGACCCCGCATGCTGCTTGTATGCGCTCTGCTGCGAGCTGTCTCAAGCTGCTAGTTCTAGTATTCTCTCGCTGTGATGACTCTTTAGAGCACCCCACATGCCAAGGGGGCATCCCATAAGTTGGCTTATACAAGACTAAGCTATGGGCGTGTTTATTGCCTCTCCGACCACGGAATGGAGGTGACATGATGGGAATTGTGACCGCAGTTTGGCTATTCATTAGTGGCTTGGAAGAGGCCTGACTGTTGGCCTAGCGGCTTCAGACTTGGTGGACTGTAGTGCAACAGGGCTTGCTGGAAATGCTTGTTTCCTGTTAAACTCCTCATGTGCCTGGTTCCTTATGCACTCTCCTACGCATGTGGATGTGCCTGTACGTGTGCACATGTGTGTGTGCATGCGCATGTGTGTGTGCATGTGCATGTGTGTGTGCATGTGTGTGTGCATGTGTGTGTGCATGTGCATGTGTGTGTGCATGTGCATGTGTGTGTGCGTGTGCATGTGTGTGTGTGCGTGTGCATGCGCATGTGTGTCTGCGTATGTCCATGTGCATGTGCATGTGCATGTGTATGTGCGTTTGTATGTCTGTGTGCGTGTGCATTATTGTGTGCGTGTGCATGCGTGTGTGCGTGTGCATGTGCATGTGTATGTGCGTGTGCGTGCGCATGTGTATGTATGTATGTGCATGTACATGCATATGTGCACGTGCATGTGCATGCGTATGTGCGTGTGCATGTGTGTGTGCATAGGTGCATGTGTATGTGTGTGTGCGTGTGCATGTGCCCGTGCATGTGCATGTGCGTGTTTGCAGCTCCAAGTGATGACAGGCCACAACATGTCTGCAGAGGATGACAGTGTTTTCCGGCTTCCATGCTTCAAGTGAGTCGCAATGTTTTATGTCCATCGACCCATTGAGTTGTGAGCTCACCTTTCCACTTGTGTCACTCCTTCCAAGTGCCACCTGTGTGCAGTGCACAACACACCAGCTCTCGGCCCGGCTCCCCCTTCAAGGGGTTCTCAGTCTGAATGGAACCTCAAGGCACCTGCTATTGCATGCAAGGTAAGCCATACTCATCCAACCTCTGTGGGAGCTTCACCACAAGCTCTTAGTCGCCCAAGTATTTCGCCTCATGTAACCCAGCCCAAACCACGCCAGGTGACCCAATAGGGTGCTTGGCCAGAAAGGACAGTGTGCCAGCCAGTTGTACAAATTTACAGCCAGAGGAAAGAATGTGACATGGTTTGCTCGGTTCTGGCACACCGTTTGGTCTGTGAACCACTGCAAACATCTTGCGACCCTAGAATGGTTATTCTCAGGCTCTTGGGTGCTGGAATGCGTTGGATTTGTGGCTTCTTTGGTGTGGGGCCTGCTCTATCTGCTGTTGTGTAAGCATGAGCATGTGTGTCCACGGTGAGCATTGACAAGCAAAATGATAGTGGTTGAGATGAGAAGGAATCCTGAACGAATGCCGTGATTTTTTTTAGTCGACTCAAAAGTCACCTTGTCCACGGTGAGCATTGACTGGCGAGATAATATTGGGCGAGAAGGAATCCTGAAAGAAGACCGTGAATTTTTGGAGGTTGATAAAGGAAGTCGATGTTTGAAAACAAAGAAGAGAGTGATTTTTGAGAATTCTCAAAAATCACTCGCTCCTGGTTTTGTGGGGCCAGAAATGGCTAATGCTGGTAGCGAATCTGCTCTGGTTGCCGCGAGGAGGAATAAATCATCTCTAGACGTGCTAGACCTCCGAGATGGTACGGAGGGCGAGAGAAGAAGGGGCACTTGCTCTGCTGAATGGCAGGGAGTGGCAGAGGCGAGAATGCGTGGTCAGTAGCAGAGGCGAGAGTGTTTGGAGGGTGGGCGTGCAAGAATGCAAGGAATTGCCGCGCACGGTTGAGCGTGGTGATGCACCACCACTGTGCTTCATCCGTTCGTTCGTAGGCCGCGCGCGGTAGGCTCCGTGGTGCCTTCTTGTTTGTTGTAAGCGTTTCTCGTGAAATCTCAAAAAACGCCTTGAACTTCTTCTCATCGGCAATAGGGTCCGGTTTTTTTTTGGATTCTCAAAGAAAAAAAAAGGCGGATCAGACCCAGGCTGTCGAGCAAGGCAGGAGTTTCCGTTAGAAAACTCTACGCCATCGTCAGCGTAATGGCGCAACCAGCACTACTGACCAGCGGATAGCCTTGACAATTCCAAATTACTGGCCACCCAGTAGTGTTGGTATGTTCTACATCAGCTCACCCAGGCTTCTCCATTTCCTGTGTGTACACCCCCTTTTTCTACTGTCTGCCTTTCCTAGTGTCTGCCTTTTATCCCAAGGCAACACAGTGGTTTTGAGCACGAGTAGCTCCTTTCTAGTATTTTATACTCTCTGACCATCACCTCGTACAATCGGTCCTCAGACCTCCTTGTCTCCATTTCTTCCTCACTCGCACGACAATGCCCCACTTGCAGGAACGGGAACAGTGCAGAGGATCCGTTCACCACCTTCCCCACCATCGACATTGCTTTCTTCAGTCTAAACAGCACCAATGCCACCGTCCACTTCTATCTCAAGCCGCGCGAGTACCTCGCCCAGGTATAAGAAGGAAGCTTGCTTTGGGTTCACTTCATGGCTCCTCACCTTGCACACTCATTCACATGCCCAATCTCATTCAAGTGATTGTATCACAGGAACCTTCTGTCGCCCGTCTCGTGTTTCCCGCTTCTCTCATTTCATCCAAACAGACGCCAGAGTAGGAGGAACGTGGAGTCCATTTTTAGCTGCCTCCCACGTGCTCTCCCTTCTCCCCTCCCCTCTCCCTGCCCTCTCCCCTCCCCTCTCCCTGCCCTCTCCCCTCCCCTCTCCCTGCCCTCTCCTCTCCCCTCTCCCTGCCCTCTCCTCTCCCCTCTCCCTGCCCTCTCCTCTCCAGTCTCCTTTCTCTTCTCCTCTCTTCGATCCTTTCCCCCCCACCCTTCTATGCCATCGCAACCCTCCTTGGCCCAAGACTCGTTGTCAGACCCTCTGGCTGACATCCCCGAGTTGCTGAGTTCCTGACCTGATTTGCCAAGTCGCCAAGTCGCCGACCCCCACGTTCCACCCGTCAACGCTCTTCCCCAATCCCATGCGCCCCCCACAGGTTTCAGCTTCTGAATACTGCGTCTTGGCCACCAATACCCCTTCCAAAGAAAACTCTATCAACCTCATTGGAGGTACGAGGTTTACCTATCGCACCTTCGCACTTTTAACTCTACCTGAGTTTCTGCCAGCTCCCTTCCTTTTCCTTTCCCCACCGACCTATTGCTGTGACGTGCTGTGCTGTGCTGTGCTATGATGTGCTGTGCTATGATGTGCTGTGCTGTGCAGTGCTGTGCTGTGCTGTGCTGTGCTGTGCGGTGCTGTGCTGTGCTGGCTCTCCTCTGCCAGCCATCCACCGCCCACTCCTCACAATACGCCTACCAACCGCCTACCAACCGCCAACCAGCAAATGCAAGCTGAGAATCTAGGCAAGCATGGATCGCTGTGCCGAATGTGATTTTCCAGGGTTCTCAGAAGTCAACCCCACGCCTAATTTGAGTACCCTAGAGCCCACAGGCAAGAGGCCAAATGGGCCTCGCGATAGAAGTGTAGTTTTTGAGACCTCTCGATACTACACAGGCGAGAGGCCAGATGAGCCTTATTAATGCTGTTGCCCCTTTCACTTCCCTTCCCCCTTCCCTCTCTCCCCCCATATCGTGACCGACGCTGCACACGCGTACAGCCGCGACCAGGAGCCGCGGGGCCTTCGATCGAGCGGGACGCATAAGGCGGGGAGCGAACTGGCAACGGTTTGCGTACGGACAGCAGGGTGTGCGCGGAACGCAGGGCGAAGGGCGAACATGCGACGGGCAGACGAGGCGACGGACGGCAGCGAGACAGGGGCGGGCGACGATCGACGAGGCAGGTGACGGGACGTGGGCGCGACGGGACGGGCGACGGGCTACAGCAGCGGGTAGCGCGGGGCGACGAGCTGCAGCAGGGCAACGCGACGAGCTGATCGTCGTGGCGCTCACGATGCGCACTACGGGCTGCGCGACGCGATGCGCCACGATGAGGGCTAGTGGTGGGCCCATGTAAAGCGAACGGTCCTAAATCGGACCTAGCTCTATACCATGTTACGGAACAAACTTAGTCTAGGAACCGAGATTTCCTAAGGGCCTAGGCTACTAAGCCTAGGCCAAGCGGGTGTCGAGTAGTTTGTGCCAAGGAGAATCGAGAGGGGTGGATGTGTGGGAGTCGAGGGAGTGGAGCTAGGGGGGTGCCGTGGAAGTGGAGCTAGGAGTGCATAGGGGGGTGTGTGAAAGGGGGTCTGCGACAGTGGGGGAGGTTGAACGGAGGTAGACGTTGTGGAGCCAGCAGCGCCAGTAGTCCGGATGCCCTTGCTCCGGTAGCCAGTGAGCCCGTTGCGCCAGTCGCCCGTGGGTCCGTTGCTCCAGCCTCTCGTCTTAGCCGTGGAGCCAGTTACTCCAGTAGTCAGGGGCCCTTGCTCCAGTAGCCCGTGTGCCAGCAGCTTCAGCCGCCGCCTCCAATCTCCTCTCTTCTCACAATCCCTCCTCCTCACGAGTCCTTTATGTCTCCCACTAGCTTTGCTTGTGCTTGTGAACTTATTATGTGACTGCTTCCTGTGCTGATTATACCCCACTTTGTCTATGGGGATGTGCCAGAATGCGATATTTGTCTACTTTGCAGTGGGGTACTCTATAGTGAGTACAACCCGGTTAGGGTTTGCTATTTGTATACCAACTGCCTGCTAGTGAAAGCCCCTTTTCTTTCGTTCCTGTTTTACCTAGCTGCTTTGACAATCCTTCCCGTCATAAGATTCATTCTCTGTCACTCCCTCCCCTTTGTTGGGAACAATAAGTCTTAAAGCGCCTCTATCGTGTCGAAACTCAGGACACAAGCGAAGCAGTCCAAATCGAAGCATCGCGAGTCAACCCTCGGAGGTTAGGGTAACCGCCTGGAGGTTACGCGAAGGTCAAAAGTCAGCGACCTTTGACTTGACAAAATACAGCGCGACAGCAAGGACACACAACTGACTCGACATTGAGCAGTTGCCCGAGTCGCACTGTATCGAATCGCAACAGCAAAACAGTTTAATTATATCTATTCGTATTCCTTGTACTCTTATATAAAGCCTTGTATTTGCTTGTTTTAATAAACTTACTTTGCCCTCACATACTAGCGCAAGGTGGTTCAAGGACTTTATTCAAACGCTTCCGCTATTACAATCCTACTCAGACTTTAACTCTACAAAGATCCTAGGGCATCTCAGCCCAACACCCTTCATGACCGCCTATTTACTCAGAATAGGTTCTCTAGCCCGTGATTATTTACGGATCACCCAAGTAGGCTTAATCTTCATTAGTGATGTTATTACGAGTCCGTCGCGGTAGCAACTACGCAGCCACCCGTTCCATTCATTAAGACTCTCTCGTCCCCGTCATACAATGCCCTCCCCTCCCTCCCGTCACACACGTGACTCCTCACCATCGCTAACGTCCCTACGGTCTCTCTCGTCGTCCTTGTCTCTCTCGTCGCCCTTGTCTCTCTCGTCGCCCCTGTCTCTCTCGTCGCCCCTGTCTCTCTCGTCGCCCCAGTCTCTCTCGTCATCCTTGTCTCTCTCGTCGCCCTTGTCTCTCTCGTCGCCCTGGTCTCTCTCGTCGCCCTTGTCTCTCTCGTCGCCCTTGTCTCTCTCGCCGCCCTTATCTCTCTCGTCGCCCTTATCGCTCTCGCTGCTGTCGCCCTCGCTTCCTTAGATTGTCACGGACGCGAGCAACTCACTCACGCTCGTCATTCATTTCACGCCCGTCAATCACTCGCTCTTCGCTCACTCACGCTCGTTCGCCCTTCCTCCCTTCGTTCGCGCTTCCTCCCTTTGCTCCGCACTGCTTCCCTCCCGTCGCTCCCGCTCCTCTCGTCCCTCCCGTCCCTCTTCCCGTCGCTCTCGTAGCTCCCGTCCCTCCTGTCCCTCTTGTCGCTTCCGTCCCTCCCGTGGCCCACGTCGCTCCCGTCGCTCTCTTCCCTTCCCTTCCCTTCCCTTCCCTACGCCCAGTTACCCCCCTTCCCTACGCACAGTTACCCCCCTTCCCTGCGCGCAGTTACCCCCCTTCTCTACGCGCAGTTACCCCCCTTCCCTACGCGCTGTTACCCCCTTTCCCTAAGCGCAGGTTCCCCCCTTTCCTTCGACCAGTTTCCCCTTGATATTGCTCACTCACACCCATCGCTCATTCACACCCATCGGTCACTCACACCCACCCACCGCTCACTCACACCCGCTGCTCGCTCCGTTCCCTCTATGCCTCACTTCCCCCTTGAGTCTCCCATTCCCTTCCCACGCCATCCGTCCCTCTTCCTTCGCTCTCAGCCTCAAGCCTTCCTTCCTTCACCACGCCACTCCTCCTGTCCCTCTCCCATGCCTCCCTTCCCTCTGTCTCACTTCCCTTTTTCCCCCATTGGTTCCCCCTCCCACTCCTCCCTTGCATCTCGTCTCCCTTCCTCTCGTCTCCCTCTGCCTCTACTCTCTCGTTGCATCAAGTGCTGAATTTTTCCTGTCCTTTCTGCCTTTCTCCTCCCTTCCTTCTCCTTTTCTTATCTCCTCCGTTCTTTTTGTACCCAGTTTTCTCCTTTCCTCTTCTCTCCTTCCTTCCCTCCTCTTCCCCCCCCCCTTACCTGATTCCCCGACACTCCCCCTTCCTCTCCCTCCACGCTTCTCGCCCTTATCCCCTCAGCCCCTCTCCTCCTTTCCCTCTCAGCCCCTCTCCTCTTTTTTCTCTCAGCCCCTCTCCTTCTTTTCCTCTCAGCCCCTCTCCTCCTTTCCCTCTCAACCCCTCTCCTCTCATCCCCTCTCCTCCTTTCCTCTCAGCCCCTCTCCTCACCCTGCTCACTCACACACCCTGCTCACTCTATACTCGCTCACTCGTCCTCTGCTTAGGGTGGGTGCAGTGCTGGTAGGTGTTGTCCAATTCCTCTCTTCTGTTGTTCTTCCATTCAACTATTCCTTGTGGTTTTTGTTTGTGTTTCTACAGGTCTGCTATTCATCTGGTTGTGGTGTGATGATGTGATGGCTGGCAGTTTGATAGTACTATAATGACTAGCCATGCCATGTTTGTATGTTGGATGCTTAGTAATACGGTAATACAACTGAGCTGTGGAGCAGCCATGCACATGACCACTACAAAAAAGTGCAACAAAGTTCACAGCTGATTATCGACTCGCCACGAAGAACGCAGCTAGGAAATGTAATGCCTTTTCCGCATTCTTGTCTGCTACACTGCATGCAACCTTGGCGTGTGGTGCTGGGAGCCCGGACATGTACACTACGTTGTTGGAAATGGGGGTGAGTGAAAGGGGGAACAGATTGAGCAGCGGAAAAGAGAGTAGCAGGAAGAAACAGGGCAAGCAATGGGGAAGAGAGTGTGCATGGACAATAAGGATGGTAATGTGAAAGGAATGAATGGGGAGGTGAAAGGGAGTTAGTTAGCCTGAGAGGTAGTAGGGAGGGAGGAAGGCAGGAAGAGTTCATTTTTTGCATGGGATGATGTGGGTACAGGTGAAGCGAATGGTGGGAGAATTGGAGGAGGCGGTAAAGACGGGCAACAGGATGGGTAGAGAAGGCGGCTGGGTGGGAAACGACAGCCCCCGCGGGCGATGGGAGGGGGATGGGAGGGAGATGGGAGGGGGATGGGAGGGGAATGGGAGGGCAATGGGAGGGGGATGGGAGGAAGTTGGGAGGGCGATGGGAGGGGGATGAAAGGGGGATGGGAGGGGGATAGGAGGGGGATAGGAGGGGGATGGGCGGGGGATGGGAGGGGGATGGGAGGGGGATGGGCGAGGGATGGGAGGGAGATGGGAGGGGGATGGGCAGGGAATGGGAGGGGGATGGGAGGGCGATGGGAGGGGGATGGGAGGGGGATGAAAGGGAGAAGGGAGGGCGATGGGCGGGGGAAGCGAGGGCGATGGGCCGAGGAAGCGAGGGCGATGGGTGGATGCGAGAACGACGGGTGGGGGAAGTGAGGTCGACAATGCTCTAATCTCTCATCCCGTGCCGCTCATTCTCTGCTCTCTCCCGCGCCACATCCGGTCCTAGGATTCCTCTCGATTCCGGCAGCAACGTACATATTCTCACATGTTATGCCTAGCTATTTTAATCTAAATACTTAGTTTCCAGCACACTGATGTTCTTACTATCTACGGGTAGTTGTGATGTTCCAACACGCTTTTCTCAGCCTTCTCCTAGAGTGCGCTTGTGGACTGGTGAGCTCTATTAGAGTGGTTGGGTTTTGCTTTGTCTGCATGTTCAAGTTTCTTGAAGTTGAATATAGTATACTGCGATACTCTTGGAGCATTCCGCTTTCGCCACCTGCCACTGGCGAATTCTCTGCTCGTCAATCTTCGCTAAACACTTGTTCAGTATTTTTGAACCCTTGCCATTCTAAACTCGGGCTTTAATCATCTTGTTCTTCTTCAAATTCATTAACAAGGTCATTACAAGACTTCCTAGTCTTAGATCAATCTCGACACATTTATCCTATCCACTACGATCCTTCAGTTATAACAACGTGGTATAAGAGCTAGAGTGGATTATAAGGCCTGTTAAGCTCTTGTTCTTTCTGGAACAACCTCTTCATAGATTACTCGTTAAACCATTACAAACTCTGCATCACTATGGCTCCTGAAGAAAAAGCCACAGCAGAATCTCCATGCCCACCACCAGCAACGCTCACTGCACTATTAGTGGTGACCTCTGTCAACGCCGCTCTCGTCGAGCAGCTGGTCCCCAGCATCAACGCTCTTGAGAACCATCAAGCCATGAGCATTGATGGCTCAAGCTTCACACGTGGAGTTGCTGGACTCCCTCTCCCTAGAGAAGACCGCCGCGTCAACTCCGAGAGGTCATTTACCTTTAACGACCGTCAAGCTTCAGCTCCTGCGCAAGACAGTCAACATCGCACTTACTCAGACACAATCGCGACAATGCAAACAAAGTTCGTTCTGACTTCAAAGCTGAAAACATCAGTTCCCTTTTACAGAAAGGACTTCTACACGTGGAGCTTCGAGTTCGAGCTCCTTGTGACAACTGCGCAAATCTGGATGTACTACGATGGAAGCTTACCGTTTCCGACGGAAGGCACCATCCAAGAGAAGAACCAGTACTACCATGAGTCTCTTCTCGCATACACCACTCTTCTCCAAAACCTCTCCCCTTCCGAGCAGCTTGGCATTCGCTCCTACAAGTCCGAGTGGGCACCCACGTACGCTTCTTGGGAGCACTTGCGCAACTCATACATGGCAACAGATCCCGTCACAATGAGTCACCTACTCAGCCAACTTACTTCGGTTAAAATGCAACAAGGAGAGAAAACGGGACCATATATCAATCGGTACCGCAATCTGCGCGACCACATTAAGAAGTGCGGCAGAACCGTTCCCGATGACATGTTCGTCTCCATGGTTCTCTCCGGCCTTGGACCCGATTGGCGACAGTGTCAATCGTTGCTCCGTGCTTGAGCAACCATCTCCGAGTCCGCTCTGTGCGCCATGCTTCTCTCCGAGCAGAAGGAGATTGATCTGTACAATGAGAAAAACGGTAATCGGGAGAAATTAGTTTTCTGCAAATACTGCAAGAAGCCCGGGCACACTATCGATCAGTGCTACAAGCGTAAGGCCATTGATGAGAGGCGCAACAACTCCTCTAGTCAGCAGCCTTCAGCACCCTTGGCTTCTACTGTTGCAACATCAACCGTGTCACCGCCCTCCGTTGCAATCACTTCACAAACTTTGCGCACATTACGGTCAAGGGCAAGGGAAAGGGGCCAGTCATGAACTGCATGGCGCGCCATCGCAGAGACATTTGATACTACAACGGCATAGAATTCCCATCTATCGTGCCTATTAACTAGTCTAGACAACGATCCCACCATTCACAGCTCGATTGATCGCCCAAGCAACATCCCACCTGATTTTGAGCTGCCTCCACTGACACCGAAGTCCCCTCCTAGCTCCAGGACTTCCTTCTGTGGATGTTGCGGCACTTGACCCGTACTAGGCAACCCGTGGAACTAGCTGGGACGGACCTCCTCTTCCGGACCAATACGCTCCTGACACGCCAGAACATGTGCAAGAAGATTCAGAAGAAGAAGTGACCTACTAGTTGTTCAGTAAAGCAGCGGAATTACCCAAACCTACCGAGGAAGCACCAAAACAAGGACCCTAGTTGATTTCAGTCACCGGCGGAGAATACCTTTACCACCGCGTTCCGATAGAAGGACTTCCCGCATCTGAGTGGCCCGAAGCAGCGTCCTTCCCACAACCGCTCATCAACGGTGATGCCGTTCATTCCTGCGACACAGATGATATCGCCACATTCCCGAAAGAAGTCATGGAGCATCTCTCCATCCGAGCCTTTGCAGCTGACACTGATGTAGCCACCGTCAAGGGTCTTGAAAAGAAACAGAACGACGAAGCAGAAATACACAAGTATTATCAGAAGACCATTGGATATCGTGCCGAACCAGAGACATGGCACCAGCGACTCAGACACCCCTCACACACCACGCTCGAGAATTCTCTCAAGGTCGGCGTCTTCGACGACGATGTGTTGTTTCTTCCTCAAGGAGGCTCTCTCACAACGTAATCTGATGACCCGCCATGCACCGTATGCTGACTGCGTCACTTGCCCACAAACCTTATCCCGACCTACCTCCCGGCTACGAGCGCTACAAGCCACTTGACAAAGTCTACAGCGACTTCATGGTTCTAAGTCAGGAAGGGCTCAACGGCGAATATTACACCCTTACCTTCATCGACGCATGCACACGCTACGTATGGGCCATCAACACCGACTGCCACTCTTTAGCCTTCGAGTGCTTCGTGGCCTGGATGAAACGGGCCGAACGCTAGTCTGGACTGAAGCTGAAAACCTACCAGACAGATGGGGGTTTGGAGTTCTTCTTTACTGAGTTCAAAGAGCACTTCAAGTAGAAGGGGATTGAGCACCTGGTGTCCCTGCCCTACGCTCACGAGCAGCAGGGAGTAGCAGAATGGACAAACAGGAGCCTCGCCACCAGGATGAGGGCTCTGATGAAGCATTCGGCCGTTCCAACCAAGTACCAGCCATTTGCGATGAACCACGTTGTCCGGCTGCACAACTTGCTGTCGTCCCGAAGCCTCGAGAACAACAACTCTCCCTACAGGGCTTGGACAGGCAAATTGGCAGACACGCGTCTGCTTCGGGTGTTCGGTTGCATGGTACAGTACAGGCCACACACAGCGAGGACTGGAAAATTTTCTGACCGGGCACGCTGGGGCATCCACCTCGGAATCAGAAAATAATACAAGGCGTGGATCGTGCTGAAATACGCGACACACTAAGTCACAAAATCACATGACTGCATCTTCTACAAGAAGCTGACTTTGCCACTATTCAAGGAACACCTCAAAGCTGACAAAGCACTGGAAACAATCTAAGAGGGACATCGTAGCTTCGCCACATCACACGATGAAGCAGACCTGACGGAAGACGCTAACGCACCCAACAACACACCATCGGATCCATATCCAAACATCCCCCTTACAAGCCCACTCCAGACCTCGACAATGCCAGCGACAACGACGTCGTCGAAGTAACCAGCTTCCATGACTACGATTGCCTGCACTACGAAAAGCCCAACAAAACTGGTTTCCGCATCCTTGGGCTCGCCGTACCTGTTCGCCACACCTCCCCCAAGGAATCCACCACCGTTCGCCGGGCCTTGTCTGGCCTCGATAGTAAGAAATGTTCGGCAGCCATGGCCGCCAAAGTCGCAGCCATGAAGAGCCGCGGAATGTGGAAGCTGGTTCCACGATCATCAGCAAAGGGGAGGAAAATTCTTAGTGAAAAATGGGTCTTTCGCATTAAAACACTGGCGGATGGCTCCATTGACAAATACAAGGCGAGATGGGTGGTGCGCGGGCTCGAGCAAACTCAGATGGTGGACTTCGACCTTACCTACGCACCCGTCGGACGACAAACGTCGGTGCGCATTCTCATCTGCATCGCAGCCGTCAAGAGGCGACCACTCCGTCAAATCAATGTCGGCAGCGCATTCCTGTACGCTCCCGTCGATGCCATCATCTTCGTCGAGCAGCCGCACACCTTCGAGGAAAGCGACGGCGCTGTCTGCCTTCTTCAAAAATCCCTCTATGGGATTAAGCGGGCGCCTCGAGTGTGGCAACAATACCTGTATACCGTCACGGAGCTCGGATTCAAACAGCTACCACACGACCTTGGGATGTACCGGAAGGAGTTGCGCGGCAAGTTCATCCTACTTGTTGCCTACGTTGACGATCTACTCTACACCGGTGACAACACGGAGCTACTGGACCAGTTTGAAGCAAATATCAAGAGAAGTTGGAGGTGACAATCAATCACTCCATCACGCAGTTCCTGGGTCTCAACATTCCTCAGTCCGCCAGCTCCATTCACCTCTCCGCCGCCAAGTATGCGAAAACACTCGCGAAGAAATTCGCTATCACGCCGATCAATCTCACCACCCCATACCGCACTCCTCCTCCTAATCACAAACCGGATACCACGCCACTCTCCATCGACGATCATTGGCTCTATCAGCAGCAACTGGGGTGTCTCATGTTCGCCGCCATCACGTGCCGGCCCGATCTCTCCTACGTCGCAAGCCAGCTCGCAAAGTACCTGAAGCGACCTGAAGGGAAGAATCTACTGGATCTACGCCAAGCTCTTCAATACTTCGTCTCTACTCCTGACGTTGGCCTCACCTACGAAGCAAACTTTACTGCTACCCTGCAGCTCCATGCCTACGTTGACCCAGACCACGCAGGAGACATTGTCAACAGACGCTCACGTACATGATTCATTTTTCAACTCCAACCTGCTGGGCTCATCTCTAGGAACTCTCAGGAGCAGGGACTCATCACCCTTTCGTCACCTGGAGCTGAGTTCATCGCCGCCAGCGCATCTGTTTGCGAAGGACTGTACCTGATGGAGCTCTTGCAAGAAG